TGTGACCTGTGACCTGTGACCTGTGACCTGTGACCTGTGACCTGTGACCTGTAAAAGAAACCTGCCGCTGTGGAGCGGCCATTCAGATGGCTTTGAAGAGATTTCACTGGTCTCAGCGTGTCGATCGATAAGTACTTATGGCGGATCGATCGTATTTTCACTATGTGAAAGGGTCGAACTACTGTATGTAAGAACCCCTGACGAGTATCAAGGTTATTAATTATTTTAGTGCCAGCGGTTTTCCAGTTATAATTAAATTTCAACCTGTCATCTGCAACCTGCACCCCGCAAAAAAGACCTGCCGGTGCACATACCACTTGGTGCAACTTCTCGTAATTATTTCGTTATCATTCGTCCAGAGGTAGACAAAATCGTATCAACCATGAACAGGCTTCGAAGCTCTTTCCCATGGACCGCCAAAAACGTCGTTCGAGTCGTTCGATTGCAAGGTATGATCACTCCTGAAACTCGACCCGGTGGGAGAGGTTTCAACTTTCTAAAAGTTGAAAAGCACATCGAGCAGGCTTTTGACATAAAAAAAATCAAGCCCAAAGCTGTGTGCCTAGAGATCAACAGCCGAGGTGGGTCTCCAGTGCAGTCTAGCTTAATTTTTCACCGAATTCGAACTTTGTCGAAGGAGAACGGTGTTCCTGTGCTATCTTTTGCTGAAGACGTGGCGGCTTCCGGGGGATACTGGCTTGCACTGGCAGGAGATGAGATATTTGTGGATCCAAACAGCGTAGTGGGCAACATTGGTGCTCTGTATGGAACGTTTGGCATGGAGGAAACAATTAAGAAATTGGGTAGGTACATCAATCCAGTCTCAATTCCTCCTTCCTACTCTTTTCAATTTTAGAGCTCTCCCACATTTCTGCAAAGAAAAGTTGTGCTGCCTCTCCGTCCCTCTTGTGGTGAGGAATAAAAAAAGAACAGCCTCCACCCTTTGTTCTTCCCCCATGCCTCCTTCCCTTTGCCAGCAGTTGCCAATTAAAGAGAATTTTTATTTATTTATTTATTTATTTATTTATTTATCATCATTATTATTATTACTATTATTTTACTGTGTAGTTCCAGAAAATACCCATACCTCCTCTATGGAAGGGATTTTTCCAAGACCCTCCCACCCCACTGGAAATTCCAATTAAGCTTGATACATTTCTTCAAATATTTTGATCTTAGAGAACACTAGCCTCCTACATAGACGTTCTTTGGGCTTGTCATGCAATCTTTCCCCAGAGGAAGATTGCATGATGAGCCCAAAGAATGTCTCCATAAGCGGCTAAGAGAACACCCACCTCCCAGGAACTTCCAATCCCTTCTGTTGGGGTAGTATGGATATTTTCTGGAACTGCACATTGTTATTTAGCAAGAGATAAGTTCAATTGAACACATGCTCTCTGTTGGTCAATTTATGGTTACGTGGAAATTGCTTGCATTGTCACCCACTCTCCCACTAACCAGAGGCTACTTGGACTTTGGGGTAGATCTAGCCATATTAAACACTATTAATCTCTAGCTATACATACAGGGTTCGTACCCTTTTTTAGAAACAAATTTCCAGGACTTTTCCAAGACTTTTCTGGGACTCAGATTGATTTTTACAGGACTCTAAAATTCACCTTAACCCTTTCACTCCCAAGATCTCAATGTTAATTCTCCTTACTGTCTGCCATTCATTTCATATTTTTTACTGGAGTTTAACAGGTTTCCAGAACTTTCCAGGACCAGTAGCCTTTATCCAGGACTTTCCAGTCCTGGAAAATGCCGCAACAAAATTCCAGAACTTTCCAGGTTTTCCAGGACCTGTATGAACCCTGTACATAACAAAACCCTTTGGAAACAGTTAGTTATGTTTTCCCTTGAATCTCAATGTTCCCCTCCCCTTTTTCTTGCAAAGCAGAGTTTCTTGGAAAAACACAACTAATTGTTTACCTCAGCACCAATACTTACTTTACTCCCCTTCCCCACGCAGGTGTTTACATTGGTACCCACAAGGCAGTGCTGGGGTCGTAAGCCTTTGATGGGGTTATTAGCCCTTTAGCCTAAGCAACTCCTAGTAGCTTAACCGGACAAACCCAGGTGCCTATGAGACTTCTTGGTCTAGATGTACATGTAATTAGTAACACAGACTTATGCTCTGAAATACTTAACAATCATTATTACATGTACATATACTTAGGTCTGGAATGGCGACTCGTCACCGCAGGAGAAAATAAGTTCCGCAATGACCCCTTCAAACCTCAGAAGCAACAGGACGTGGATTTTCTGCAGAACATACTGAACCAAATCCACCTCAACTTCATAAACATGGTGAAAGAAAGAAGACCGACCCTTGATGCGACTCACAAGACAGTGTTCACTGGTGATTATTTTACTGGTGGAGATGCCGTCTCTATCGGATTAGCTGATGGTATTTGCTCGGATATGAAAGCTCTATGTCGTGACAGATTTGGCAAAGATGTTAAATTTGAACGCTGTGAGCCCCCAAAGGGATTTCTGTCTGGGCTGAAGAATTTTGGAAGTGAAGCAAGAGTTGAGATTTCTATGAATGATGCACTTGAAGAGCTAGCTGTGAAACAGCAGGGCTTTTAAGAGGATCCTATTTTTTACAAGAAAAAAAAATTTTTTACATTATTGGTGCATTGGTCTAGTTGACTATTCGCAAAGTCAGGCATAACTAATTAGCAATGATGATGGTAAGACCAGGTCAGTGGTAATCGGAAACATAATTTGTAATAAGTTTAGAATCTTGCAGTTACCTGGTAGATCCTTTCAGTTTATCTAGTTTTTCTTTCAGTTTATTTATTTTTTTAAGGACAGGGCACTGGACAAATTGATCGACTGTGAGGATGATTTTGCCCTCCTGGTTTGACCATCTAGGGGAAGGGTTTTGTTATAAAGAAGTTTTAAAAGTTCAAAAGGTTTTATCCGCCTGTAAACACCAGTTGTCCTCGTGCTGTAAACAGTAATGAAACCCCTGACCCTGTGGTAGAATTCAATGTCATCAAGAGATTCCAAAAATTGGCAGATGTGGTTCACATTCTCCAAAATACACAGGCTTGGACCATTTTACATACCTGCTGATTTGCAGAGGACAGCTGCAAATGTACATTGATTTTTAAAAAGTGCATTGCTATTGAACTACTCATAAATGTTTGGGTTTAGCAATGTTCTTGTCTCCATTACTGTTGTGGTTTAATAAGCTTCCTAATATGTTTGGAGTAAAACTTCACATTTTCATTGATCTCTTGATAATTTGGATTATCAAAATTGTCTTCCCTCGCACTATCATTATATCAGTAGCTTTCGCCAGTTCTGTTTTGCTATCAAGTTATGGCAAATATAAATTTAGCAGGAGTTTTTCTTACTGGGCATTTAGTAATAGTGCAAATAAGGAACAAAAATATATACGATCTGTTATAATCGGTTAGTAGTCTATTAATTTAGTGAACCAGTTTTGCTAGCAGTGTCCTGTTGCCTGTATTAAGTGATCAGATGAGGCAGCTTAGCTCACCATTGTATAATTATTGTCACAGCGATATTCTTCTAGCTGTGTATGTAAGAACTTAGAGATCCCAGAAGGGAGAATTTATATGTTGACATGACAGCTTTTAAAGGATTAATAACTACCAAGTGCAGTCACAAGCATTGACCAGTTCACTAAATAATAAATGTGATCTGTTACAAGATTTATTAATTAATTTTCAATATTTTTGTTATTTATGTACATTTTGCAAATTGTACCACATTTGAATTTTGCACCCTCCACCTAGCCTGCGAGCAGGCTTAAGTTTGGGAGCACACAAGTGAGTGGTGAACCTTCCACATCAGACTCCTCCCTGCTTTGCTCACTTGTTTTGTCCAGGAAAAGATTTACTGGTGGAATCTTTCTTTGGTTTCAATGCCTTATGAGTAATCTAACTGTATGCAGTTAACCATTGTAAAAAAGGCAAATTAAAGGAAGTACAGTGTAGTTACTAGTTACCAAATAAAACAAAGTAAAAACAAAATATATAGTACATTTTTTACATTTTTTCGATTGGTTTCATGCCACGAAACCACAAAATACAATCTTTATATACATGTAACAAACATTATGTCATGTTAAAACAAGATGCTCCAGACAGTAAGACTGTATAAAGGTGCAAGGGATAGGTGACAATCACTTTGTCCAGCTGACTTTGGGTATGTCATAATGTTCTGTGAGTTCATCAAGGTATTCATTGAATTTCTGGAAAAAAAGATAACACAAGGAGATCAACATTGCAGTATAAATTATTCTTAATTGAAGAGTAACCATGAATTTATTGTTTGTCCAGAGGAGAACTATCACCTTTCCAGTTGAACCATGGACATGCAATCAGTTTGATTTACAAAAGCAGAAACAGCAATCCTGTTGTACATGTGTAACATTAGAAATTATGTGCTATCAGTGCCTGCCTAAGGCCTGAAGACAAGCTACAGAAAACAACCTGTTGGGAGGGTCATCCTGAGGAAATAATTACATCTATCTTCTTTTTTTTTCAATCTAGCACCTCAATGTTACATCAAAATCACTCTTGACTGACGAGAAAAAAATGTGTACTTTTCATTTAAAAAGACTGCTTTTTGTTATTTTGGTTGGAATAAAAACTATAATTTATCATAATATTATTAGCATCATCCAATAACAATGTCCTTTTAATTAATAGGTACCTCAACTCTCTGTTTGTGGGTTTTTTCTGCCTTCTTTAAAATCCTCTCTGCTGCCTGAATGAGAAAAAGATAAGCAGGTTCTTAGTTGTAGTAAAATATAAATGAGGTTTAACTAATCATCATTTTGCAAAATGCCAGTAGTACAAATGTACATGTACATGTAGCTATCATTCAAATAGTCACATGTAAGGGTTTTAACTTTATCTAGTAAGTTATAAGTAGTCATGTAACTGAAAAACCCTTGTAGGGAGTTGCATTAAAGTATGTAGGTATGTAATTATCTGGCACAGATAAATAATTAGTAACCATTCAACTTCAACTTCACTTTATTTTGCACTTCCCATTGTAACTGATAGAAGAGGTTTGGCTGTGAAAGAGGAAAAATTAAATCAACCACTTCCCTGAAGCTTGATGTATACATGATGCAGGGCTGTCATTAAGTTTTGAGTCACCTGTAGCCTTGTTTTCCACACCAATGGCAAACTTGGCCCTTTCTGGGTGAAGTCTATCAGCAACAGGCAATTTCACATGTAGCATCAAGGGAAAATCAAGCATACATGTACAGTACTCAGCCATAAGAGATGTTACAAGTTACAGCCCAGACATGTATTTAAAGCCATACAGTGTATGTGTATAAATTTGAATTAATTTTTACAACATGTGATATATCATTCAATGGTTTTTACCTAATGCCCCTTTCTCTTCCAGTGGACTTGTCCTGAAGGGTGCGGTAAAATCTACCTTTGAGACTACTAGTGGTCCGTTATTGCAGACAAGTACTTTTCTCTGGATTCTGTAGCATGAAGTAACTAAGGATATTTCTACTCCCCTCAATGGGATGTGGGGGGGGGGGGGGGGGCAGTGTACTCAGATCAAGCAGTCTGGGTAGATGCCCTGGCTAGGGTCATTGTGTTGTGTTTTACATGGGCAAGACACTTCACACCCATAACACTCTTCCCACCCCAGAGTATAAAATAATGGGTCCTGACAAATTTACTGCTGAGGGGTAACCCTTCAATGGACTAGCATCTGATCTGAGTAGAAATACTCCTGGTCATTTCACACTACTGAAACCACTAGGGAATTAAGTGCACCCTGGTGGGCGACTGACTAGGCTCAAAGATGTACATGTAAGACTTGATGGGATGCTAGGGCATTATAGGGTAAGCCCCTAACATTAGTTATGTAATATCTAATACACCTCGAAGGAGAGAAGCACAAGTGTAATAGAGTATCTTATCCCCAGAAGGACTCCAGTCAGAACTTAAAACTACTGTCCGCTTGCCCTGTAATCCAATGCACTAGCCGTAAGCAGGGCTGTGGTCTAAGAAAAGTTATAATGAGCCCAAAGGTTCCGAACCATGAAATCCTGGATGCCCAGAACTTAAGCTTATATGAAAAAAGTAACTTTTTCCGGTCACCCAAAGGTAAAAATTAGTCGCCTGCGGCACCCAGGCACTTCTAGAGCACAGCCCTGGTGAGGCCACTATGCCTCTCAAGGACCAGTTAAAATCATTATTGATGTAAGTTTATTTATACATCGTACATACCCGTTTCTCTTGAATTTTATCATAAGCAATTTGAGCTGGTGTCCGTGTGTCCTCTGCCTCAACCTGCTTCTGGCCTTCCTCACTTCTGCCCTTGGATACACTGTGAGAGACATCTTCAAGCACTTTCTTTGCCTTGTTTTTCTTCTTTTTCCTTAAAAAAATTGAAAAGCATGCTTAGTTGTGTATACATGTATATAAATGTTGGAATTTTTTGTTTAATAAATTTATTTCTCCTGAAAAGCCTCATTTGGGAGGTGATTTTGAAACAAAATATCCAGTGCTCAAGCATACTTGAACAACCACTGCCAAAATAAAAAATCCACACATTCAATTAGTAGCACAAAAAAAAAAAAAAAAATGTTACACAGAGAAAAAAATATCTTGAAAGCATACACAGGTCTCAACGAAAAAAAAAAATTCCTTCCTGGAGCATGGAAGGGTTAAAAAAGAATTCATGCCTACACCAAATCACCCACCAACCCATTCAAAGGTCAAGTAGTCCACCCCTAGATGGTCAAATCAAATCAGGATTGAAAGATCTCTATAACCTGTCATTTGTTTTCTGAAGATAATAAATCAAGGAACACANCTTAATCGGGCTTTGAACAACCCGGCCCAGGAGCTACGCTTTTAGGCTGGCCTAAATCTATATATTATATCCTCCTCGCTACTTGCATGACGAACTTGAATCCATCCAGCAATTTCGTTCAGCAGCGTTTCACCTGCATTAAGAGAAAATGATCCTCAGTCTCAGGTGATGACATTTTGACAGACTTAAAATACGGATCATAAAAGCACAAACCTGATCGAAAGTCCTTCCTGATCATGCAAAACATGTAAACACATGAGGGCCGCCATTTTGATTTCTTTCGACAGAATTATCCCAGCATGCATTTTTTTCTTCATTTCCGGTAGTTCCCAGTCCATATACTACTTTGAAACACGTGCAAACGAATTAGAGTGGTTTCCAACGGTAGTGGAGTAGCTGCTCAAAACAAAGGACGTTCCTGCTGAATAGTCGATCACAGGGAACGTTTTGACAAGGATGAATCTCGACAAGAATTTCTAATCAATGAAATTGACCCAAACATGACCCGCCTAGATTAGCTCAGCTATCCGCGGGCATGTTACAATTGTAATTTTAATTTGATAACAAATAAAATGTATGTATGTATGTATGACCCAGGAGGTTGTGCAATGTTTCGTGAAAATTGGTACCTTTTATGGTGAAAGAGAATGGGAGCCACACCCACAATATGCATTATTGTTGTATTATCAAAGCCTGCTTTAACATGTGATCAAACATCTCTGCCACTTTTATTGGGATCCTTCAATCCCAACTGTAAGACTCGCTGGTAGAAATTCTATCTACTGCATTTGAGTTGCCGACACAATCCATGAGAGTATTTAATTCTCTAACTACCGATTGAGTCATTGAGAGAGATCAGTGACTCAATGAGTACATTTGTTGAAAATTAGTTATGTACTTAATTGTGCAGGAATGGGGAACTTTGTCCTCTTATGTAAAACTATTTGAAAGTGCTGGGGCATTTTTTGACCTATTGATGTAAGGCGACTTAAGGCGACTTTGGAATCCCGGTAAATGGATTCTAGAAGATAATTGTACGCAAAAGGTGTCAATAAAAAAGCCGTGCCTTATTTCCATGGTGTGTTTCTTGCTTCCTGAGTGGTTATTTTCCTGATTTAACCCGATTTAAGCGATTTATTGTTTTCCGTCTTTCCACTCAAGGAGAGAACAAGGCGATACACTGGAATTCTGGACAGCCCACTGAACGAAGCCAAAAATTCCAGGCTAAAATAGCTCCACGGCCATAAATCCACCGCAGAATCCAATTACAAAGGTGTAACTTCCATTTCAACTATCTAGCCTCGCAATTGCAACCCCCGCGAGCGACACCATGGGGCAGTTTGTTTCTCCAATGAAACGGTAAAACGATGAGATGCCTGGACGAGGCCTACTCCGGGACCTTAAGTCGTTGTAACTTAAGGTGACTTTGGGCGATTTAAGGTGACTTTAGGCGACTTAAGCAAAATTGGCAGAAAAAACATAGCGACTTAAGGCGATTTAAGGCAATTTTAGGCGACTTGAGGAGACTTTGTCACTCGAGTGATATAAATTTAAACTTAGCAACAGTCTCTCCATATATCTCTTGCAATAAACCAATATTGTACCAATACTGGTACGTAATTAAGTCACCACTGTCTCAATATTCAGGGCCAGGTTGTTCAAAGCCTGATAAAACTAACCCAGGATTAGAGAGAATTTTGATTATTTTCAGTGTTGTAACTTTTCAGTCCAGTTTTCTGTTTATGTTGTTTGTCTTTTAGTTTTGAGTTTGATTCATCTTAAACTACACAACCATAAGCAGTGAAAGATATTTCTATACAAAAAAATTTATTACTTCTTTTAACTTTTAATCCTGGGCTAACGCTAACCGACTTTCGAACAACCTGAACCGGATTTCAAACCATTTTAAAAAAAATTCTATTAAAGAAAGAATTACCACAACACTGAACAGTTACTATTATAATAAGAATAATAACTTACAAAAAATACCAGCAAGGTAGCATGAATATTAGTGAAGATATCACAATAAAAATCAATATCAAACAAACTAATAATATATTCTCAGTGATAAAAATTTTAAATTTAAGATATCTTGAGTTAATTTGAAATATTTGTATATTTTTCATAAATTATTCAAACAATAGGGAAATTAAAATTAATTTAGCTTATTTACATGCATTTATTTTAGAATGCTTCCCAAATTATAAAAATGGTTATCTTGGTAGACTTATCTACCATATTTTTAGCATCTCCCCTGTCAATTTTGGCATGGGAGTTTAGCAAATGGCACGGCTTTCCCAAGTTGCTCAGTCCTTTTCAGGGACCCAATCGATTTGCTGCTCTCCTGCCTCACTCAGACAAAACATCCCAATACCATAATAAGTACCGCATGCTAAGTTCCATTTCACCGACTACTTGTCTGGTGCCAGAAAACTTTCATGACCCAGTTTATAGACACTATTCGCTATTCGCGACTATTCGCTATTCGCTACTCTGGTTTTTCAGACACCCCGCAAGGCCTGGCCAAACGGAGTCGGGAGTTGACCCAGGTTTTCAACTTCTTGCGAGTCCGTTTGGCCAGGTCTTAAAGCTACCTGTTCCGATACGAAGTCAAAAATTACTTCAAATACGACCTGAAACTGACATCAAACTTTGTCTCAAATTTATTTGTCTTTCAAGACGCGCCGCGGTGGACCTACAATCTTGGACAAAATAAATAGAACATCTGGACCACCCCCCCCCCCCCCCCCGTCCAAAATGGCGCGTTTTTGCTCCTTCGCGCCTTCATCTGCTTTGAGGGGGAAGAGGTTAATTGTTCCTTTTTATTCTGTCCAAGATTGTAGGCTCAATTTCCGCCGCTCGCTGAAGTCCGCATGCCTCTCCGAGAAGAGAGGCTCATTTCCCGAAACAGCGGCTGGTAATCGAGCCTAGGGTGGATCATTTGACTGACTTTTGAGGGGAGGAGACTGGGTTGTTTTGAAAAAATATATATACACTCTTTTTTACAAAACAACGTGTAATTTTGGAGCTGAGGCTGAACGTTCTTATGTTTTTTTTTGCAATTTGAGGCTGAAAAAGTCCTTAAGACGGTTCTTAAATTTTCATGGTATACAAGGTCAACTACGGCCTTGCATACGGCGGCTGCGCCCGCAGTACGAGCGACAGTCAAAACTGAGCTGTCCTTCCGAAACGACACGATAATAGCCTTTTTCTTCGCAACTAAGAAAAATAAAGACAATGCTCAAGTTGCTTTGGCCTCTTCTAATAGTTAACTTGAGAATTTCGGGTTTAATTTGACGAGGAACAGCATATTTTGTTCAAAACAACACAACTATTATCCTACCTCACGACGACACTCGATGAACTACGAGCGAGTTGCCATGCTGGACGCCGGCGATCCATTTTAGCGCCAAATTAGAGGCTTAGAGGTCCAAAATGTTGCATACTTTTCACTTTTTCAATATGATAAGGGTTTTGGAATTGTAAATTACTTCTCGCGAATATTTCAATAATGCGATCTCCAGTGAGAAAAGTTGCCTGATTTCAAAACCCTTCCTTACCTTTCCTGTTAAACTTACATTGACGTCAGGACAGCGGTTGAAGTTTTTCTCGCCGGCTGAATCCTGCTGAATCCTGATGGTCAATTCAAATTTCAGGCGCGCAAGCCGTACGCAAGGAACTTGATAATACTTCAGACTTTTAGTACCACCTGTCATGACTTTGATGGTGTGGAAGTTATTTTGGAACAGTCATAAATAAGAATCTGCTGATTGTTACAAACGGAGATGTGTGTCATGCCCTAAGTAAACCATTGTTAATGTTATACAAAACATGCTCTTAAGTATTCACTGTATTTGGGTTAATTTTACATTTTTGTTACCTCTTTTTTATGCTTGTCATTTAATGCATATAGATTAGCAAAATATAAAAACGTTCTTAATCGACTCTCAGCCTGAGGAATGTTCTTAATACGTTCTTTTAAAAATGTTGGTTAATCTCAGCCTCAACATTCTTAAAAAAAAAGGTCCTTATATAAAAAAAATAGTGTATCCTGCGAGCATAGTTTTACCAAAATATTCATGCGCCCGACCACTACCGAAAAAAAATTCACGCACGTTCAGCGAGCCGAAAAAAGCTCAGGTCACACGGGGAAAATATCTTGCATAAACATGTCCCGAGAAAAAAAATTCCTAGTGCATGTAAGGGTTGAAAAAATCATGCCCATACCAAATCAACTTCTCCAAAGTCAAACGATCCACTCCTTGGAGGCAATTTTTTAATTCTGCTTCTGAACCAATGCAAGTATATGACATGAGCGCTGTTTTGGAGATCGCGTGACTGACAAGACATATGATCTGGCTGATGTTATGATGTTATGAAGTTTGCTAATTGACGGTTCATTACAACTCCGGTGTTATCTGCGTTTCGGTGTGATATTATGCACGACATTTTGAACGCAGCGTTGAACTGAAAACATGTCCGCTGGAAGACTTATAGCAATTGCTGTCGATCCGAGTGACTACAGTGAAAAGGCATTTGACTGTGAGTTTTAACTATTTTAATTTACATGCCTAAACGATCTTTTGCAATATATATATACCGGTCTTCAAATTAACAACCCGGCCATTGTGCCAGAAGTATAGTTTACAGCTCTGTGATACGACTCTTTTAAAATCAATTTTTTTTCGCCTTAATTGACTGAAATTAACATCTATTATAAAATCCATTTTGAAATTGAACAGAATTTATTAATTTATCACGCGAAGTTCGGGCCTGTCGGTCCGCGCGTGAGAAACAGCACGCGTGTTTTCCTCGAAGCAAATTTGTGGTTTAAAACACAATTAATAAACCAAGAAATACTCTACCAAAAATACTCTACCAGCTCATCAATATTTCCGACACCCAAAATTAAACCATGTAAGAATTTGTTGAATTATTATTGAATTTGGTCCTGTTCGTGTAAAAATAAAAACAGCCTTTCTTTTCTTTAAAATGATCCCATATAATATAGCCAAACTGTTCATAATTTTGTTAATAATTAGCTTTTATTTGTTTATAAAGGGTTCATGGCAAATGTCTACCACGAAGGAGATCGATTGGTGGTCATTCATTCGCATGAACTTCACCCTCCGGTTATGCCTCGTAAGTACAATTTATCATGTGGGTGTGGTAGCAAGGGGGTGGCAGGGAGGAGGGGAAGGGAATAGCGGTGATGTCTAGTATAAACTATCTCAAATTTGAATATTTCTAGTTCTTTTACCCCCTCCCAAATAATTCTAATCAACATCATCAGCTACCGTCCTGTGGCTTTCTTGTTGCATTGCCTTCAGTGAAATTTGCCAAGACATACGTCATTCCTGAATGCGAGGTAATTCTTTCTAAATTTGATTCTGTCAGTGGTTGCTGAAAAACCATGCCATGTGTATTGCTCAAAATGGATTGACAATTTTTTTGTACTTTTCTAAGGAAGGGTGAAGCCCAATGTGGAGTGGCATGCTCTTTCTAAGGAAAACATCTAAAACCCAAAAATGCATACTCCTAGTATTACAACAAAGAGAGTCAATAGAATCTTGTATCATCTTTTTTTCAGACATGATTGCTACTGAGGAATGGAAGCGAGAGGTTATAAAACATGAAAATATCATTAAAGAACTAGAGAAAAAATATGAGAAAAAATGCAAAACCTTGAAGGTACACACAGGTTTATGTTTTGACTATTGTCATGCAAATACTGATATGACAGCAGTTCAGCTTACTCATGATATCAAAATATGTAGTAAAAATATATATATATATATTAGTTTAGCTTATTACCTAAAGATCATATCAAACGTATTTTATTTGGAACTTGATAATGTGATCTTTTTCTCCTTCTAGCTGTCAGCAAAGATTGTCATCGAGTCTGGCCCCCCTGGACAAGAGATTTGTAAAGTGGCCAAAAGGGAAGGAGCCACTTTCATTGTGTTGGGCAGTCGTGGTGCAGGAACTGTGCGTCGCACCATATTAGGAAGTGTCAGTGACTATGTTATTCACCATGCTCACATACCAGTGGTAGTGGTACCAAAGGAGTAGGAGAAACACACTCTTCACTACCCTGCTAAGAAGAGAGTAAAGAGGCAGTAAATTTAAATATTATAACAGTGTTGTCATAGAATTTTTTTATACTCATTTGAAATTTGTTCAAAATTAAAGATGGAAAATAGGAAAAAGTGAGAGTACAATGATGTTTTAGAGCAGTCATAATTACATAAATATGTATTTCTGGCATTTAATTAAATATACTTTATTTAATATAATCACTGGAAATTAAGTTATCCCAATTTTCAGTGAAATAGATAATTCAGTTTTACACATTTTTTGACTGTGAGATTGTATTGATTTTGTTCAGCGACTGTCGTATGCAAAAAAAAAAAAAAAGAAAAGAAAAAAATAGCCACGGTGAAATATTTAGAATTACAGTCAAATTATCCCCGTCAACTAGTCCCCACGTGTCATTTATCTTTACGTGTAAAATGTCACGCATTCTGTCACGGCTCAGTGCGCGATTGGGTGGAAAGGAAACACTTGTTATTGGCTGTTCATTTTCGAGTGTTAGCTTGACTGAAATCATGGCGGGTACAGAAGGCAGAGTTGTATGTATAGCTGTGGATGGAAGCGAACACAGTGAGAAAGCGTTTGACTGTAAGTAAGGAAATAACGTATTTTATGAAAATATAGCGTTCACTTTACTCCTAATACTGCAGGAGGTAAATCGAGCCAATTTCATGTAGACTTGCGTTCCGTCCAGGCGGGTTGTGATGAGTTCGTGCGTGAGATTTTATCTTATTTTTGAGAAAATGGCGACATTCGTTCGACGAGTCATTACCCTACATGAAAAGCAAAGAGTAAGTACACAGTGATACGTTGAAAGATGCGCTGATTTCTACGATTCTAGCGATCTTTGTTTTATATTTGCGTTCGTGCGTTTGCGTGGACGTCACACAACTGTCAGCGTGCTCAGCAAATGCATGATCACGAGCATGTTGTTATGTCTAAATGGCAGCGATAATTTTTTTTTTTGTCATTACCAACAGGGAAATGTGCATTGTTTTAAAAAAATTAAGACATCTTAATTATTAAAGATAGCGTGAATTCAGCAGCAGTTTGTGAGAAGAGTTGTTGGCATGGCGTCACTTCTCACGCCTCCTTCATGCCCAACAACGGCACTTGCATTAATTAGCTTAAATTGATTTAGCCCTCTTTTGTCTTTTATAGATGCGCTTATTCACAACTGTTTACTGCAGTGGACGAATTAAATTTCATTGAATATTACAGAATTATCGCTCGATCGAGATCTATTTTCTTTTTGCATTTGATGAACGGCGATTAAACAGAGAAGTAGATGTAATCGATCCCCCGGCGACTGCTGTCTTTCGCAAAAAGAGCCCAAATATTTTGTTTTCATTACAGCAGCAAATACATGGTAACAATGTAGTCACAAGTGCTGCTCTTTCGTTATGATGATTGACCATTGCTCCCGCGAATTGAAGAGACAACTCCTCGTGAAAGTTCACGAGATCTCCATCTCATTGCCCATACAAGACCCCGCCCAGTGCTTTTAAAAATTTGGCTTGCCAAGACAACCACACCCCCCAACAGCTGACAATATCACAAATTATTCAGGTTTTTTTGACTGGCTATCAAAATTAATCACGGTTTGGCTTGGCTCAAAATTAGTTTGAGTAATCAGATGGTGACGAGTGAAATTAGGAAATAATTTAAACGCATTTTGTGGCAAATTCTAATAATAATTTTCCGAGCCCTAAGGTGAGGAAAATAATTAGAATTTAGACAAAATGCAAGTGAAATTATTTCTTATAATTTTCACAAATATACCATTTGATTACCTTGTTTATTTTATTGTGAAATTTTGCGCCAAACATAATACTATGGCAATTTTGTAATTTCACCTGTGAAAGTAAAATTTAATGTTGAAATTTTGTGCCAAAAAATCAAGGAGTAATTTGTCACTTATGATATTATACTCATGAATCCTGTGGCCTGAGAAGCAATAGCAAACATGAGTTGATTCCTAGCCAATAAACTACAAAACCAAATTATAGCGGAACTTCGGGCCACTGAGTGAAACACCATACTCATAGGAACCCTTGAGAATTGCTTTTCACATCGTGGCTCATCATTCTCATCATCATCATAGCATCATGCTTTTCTCTTCATAGCTAGCAGCATTAATTGCTTGTGACCGACGTAAACAACGACAATAAGGTCAAACCACATGCTGGTCATACTCCAGCTTAAAGCTAGGTTGACTGAGACATCCAGTCTTGGTTTATAGCGTACATCTTTGACATTAGACATCCTTGTTATGGTCATCCGTGTTATGGTATCTGCTGACCAGTATCACGTTACCATATTGGGAAATCAAGGTTAGAGCTCATCGAGGTTACATGTTTTTTAGAAGTTGACTGCTGCCCAAGTACGTAAGGTTTTCGATTGGATCAGCTTCTAATAAGCCAGGTTAACTTATTATAATCAGGGTCAGGTTCTTTGGAAGCTGGTTAACGCTAACCCAGGATTAAAAGTTAACCGAAGTGTAAATTTTTCGTGCTCATATATGTTTTGTGTAGTTTGAGATTATTCAAAGTCAAGGCTCCCCTTGATGCAAACACCATAAACAAAAAACCTCACTCAATCTGCAAAGTTACATGTAAAAAGCCAAGTTTGATGCTTTTAGGATGAACAGAGACCAAGTTATAGACCTGTCTCTAATGTTGAGACAGTGTCCCCCAAAACCACATAAACTCTTAAAATTTTTTATGATTTCTGTGATACTCTTAAAAATGGGCAAACATACGTGATTTTCATCTCAGCTTCTTTCAAACGGGGTTGAATGACAAGATTTTACAGTTGTCACAAAACTGATAAAAAATTTTAAGAGTTTATATGGTTTTAGGGGATACTTTCTCAACATTAGAAATGTTTCTCTGACAGGTTTTGAACCATGTTTCAAGGTCTATAACTTGGTCTCTGTTTACCCTATTAAAGCATCAAACTTGGTCAAATGACTAATCTCAACGCGATCTTTCAATATGTGTTGGTGTCAGTTAATTGATTGGTTAAAATTTGAAACTCGCCCCAGTTCCCTGCACAATTTTGAAATGGTCTATGCTGTTGTGTCTCCCAAAGATCTGAGCATTCATCCAATTTGTTAAACAAATTGTCTGTCTAAATTGCTCCTGATAATAAAATTGACATGACTGACCAATGGACTGACAGGCCAACAGGCCAACACTGATTGATTAACGGATGGAAAGTTAATTATGTCTAGTTGACGTGTTGACTGGCAGACAGACCAACAGTTTGTTTAAACAACCAACTGAAAAGTTCCTTAAAAAACACAACTACAGAAACTTTGCCTAATTTACCTATGGTCGGATAATGCAATATGGTGACAACTCAGAAAAGCTTGATAAACTAAAGGTAACTAGAATTTTCTGCCTTGTTGCTGTGCACAATATGCAATCATTGCAGTCAGGTACCGGTATCTAATGTACTTCAGTAAAATATTTGTCCACTTTCATTTGCAGGGTATAAAAAAGAAATATATCACCAAGGAGATCGCCTGGTTGTTGTTCACTCCCACGAGTTGCACCCTCCTGCATTACCTCGTAAGTGCATTCATTAGTTAGTCTTTTATTGTCAGTGTCTGTTTGTTTTTATTTCATTTTTTCTTCTTTCAGTTGTTCACTCATTCAGTCATAAGTCAATCGTTACAAGGCATAAAGTTTATGTCTCTTCTGAGGAGTAATGGCAATTAGAAGAGGGATTCATTTTTTTTTTTTTGCTTCCCCCCTATAAGCTACAGACATATGTACACATGTTTGTGCTTTTATTTGTTAGCTCTCCCCTTTGTTTCTTCTTTTGTGGATTCATGTTTCATTAATTCGTTCCAATCAGTGATTCATGTGGTCTTCCACTCATTCAGTCATTATTCTTGTCTCTTGTTCTTTCTTCACTCATTCTGTCTTGTTCACCTAATCATTCATTTACTCATCCTTCCTTTCATTCATTCATTCACTCACATGCTCGCTCACTTGTTTGTGATGACCATTCAATATTTCACGTACTCCTTTTTCCTCATTACTCGCAGATGCCATGGCCACAGAGGAGTGGAAGAAGGAAGTGCAAAAACATGAAAAGTACATCAAGGATTTGGAAGACAAATTTAAAAGCAAGTGTGAGGAAATGCAGGTAGTGAATCATGATTACACTAAGAAAAACATTCATGGATTTTATTTCCCCAAAGACCCTTGAAATGCCTTCAGTTGATATTCAGTTCAGAGGCTGAGTAATTAGAACAACAGTTACTTTAAACTTCTCGGGAAAACAAAGCTTAGTTTTCTCTGGAGTCAGTCTTTAAAAGCCTGCGTCACAGCTGCTACCCATCATAGGTCCCAGGGGCGGCGGGGGGGGGGGGGGGGGGGGGGTACTACCATATATGGGCTATATAGGTATGTGCCGCTGTGAAGGGTATGGTTTTCAAGTAGTTTCCTGTAGCACAGGGTATATAAATCAGAGTGTTTGGGTCTAGAATAGGGTATCATTTTTCACGAAACTGACTAGTTGGTTGAAGATTTTATCTAAACTAAGGAAACCAGGAATTGCCACTCAAAAATTATAAAAAAAATGAAATCAGCAAGTTAGAATTTTTGCAACTCAGCCTCAACAGCATCGATAGATGACTATCATAAAACACTACTGGATTTTATTAACTGTCAAAAATCAGGATTCAGATGGAAATAGGTGGTTTTAATACTGGTTACTCTAGTATAGGGTAGCAAAATTCAGCTGAACTAGCTCTGGTATAGGCTAAGGGTTCCAGGGTCCCAGCGGCGCATCCCCACCCAGAAATTCCTAAAGTACCCTCCCCCCCCAGGTTAATTTTCTGTCTGCAATGCAGGCTAGTCATTAATTGCATTCTTTGCAGTTTATCAGGTTTCTTTACTTTTTGTCCACACACATTCTTCCCACTTGGGGTTGTTTACTTATTTTCTGTGCTTGGCTTGGTTCATGTCACTCATCAAACTATCAATAACATCTTTACATGTAGTAAGTAGCGGGGGAAAGGGTACCCCCTTTGAAGGACTATATAGGTATGTGCAGTACCAAAGGGTATGGTTTTTCAGCCGTTTTGGTCTGAACTAGTATGTAGATTTTAGCTCTTTTGATTTGAAATTATAAAGTATAGTTTGTGCACTATGGTCTTGAATTGGGTGTGTTTGATAGGAACTGAGTATTGTTTAGTAGCCCCATGTCTGAAATAGGATATCACATTTTGGGTCAGGTATAAAAAAGGGGGAAGAAATTGCAGATTGTGGTCTTAAACTGGTTAAGGGTTTCAGGAAACTCGCCACACACCCTCACCTGTTTTATTTTTCTGGGAGTAAGTCCCCCCNTTTCCCGAATAGCGGCTGGTAATCGAACCTACCCCACCCCCACTTTCTGGTAGTAATTAACTTCCAGTTGTGACCATTTTGTCTGGAACAACCTTGCCAGGTTTCAGCCAAAATTATCATCCAAGGTGGTCATCCAGGAGAACACGTCTGTAAAGTCGCCAGCAAGGAGGGTGCAACCCTAATCGTGTGTGGCAGCCGGGGAATGGGCACTGTTCGTCGCACCATATTAGGAAGTACCAGTGATTACATCATACATCATGCTCACGTGCCTGTGGTGGTAGTACCCAAGGAGAAGAAACATAGCCCCCACCCCTCCCCTAAAGCTGACAAGAAGCATTGATAAAGCAGCAAAGATTTGCCCGGGAGGTGAAAGCCGATTGAGTTTGCCTTTCACAAAGTGCACTTATATAATGGTATCCTATTTCATTTGCGTAATCAGTTTGTTTGTAATGGGTGAAATGATAAAGAAATAAACGATTTATGATCGTTTACCTGTGGGCTTGTATTCAGCATTCCTTTTTTCCGTTTTTTCCATGTGCAAATACGTTACAGTGTTTATGTGATGTCAGAAGTTTTCGAACGAAACGTTTTGCAATATTCAGAGAGCTCTCAAAAGCGTACAAGCGAGACCTAATCACGGTTTTGGAAGCAATCTTGACGGATGGGCCCCTGACGGTAGCCAACAGTGTCAGAAATTACAGTGTTTGTATGGGAATCTGATCGCAAATAAGTTTCTTAAATATTGAATTTTGAACAATTTATGAATAGCAAAGTTAAGAAACTAAACAAAGGATAGCAATGACCAAATATGAGGCATGTAGCTGTGCTAGAAAGTGTCCGGAAGCGTTTTTGATTTTCCACACACTTGTCTACGACTTTTTTCTGCGAACTTTGCATTGTACGCGAATTATGGTAAAGTTCGCGACACTTTGCGGGAAAAAAAATTGTAGACAAATGTGTAGAGCATTGAACTGGACTCATTCCAGCACAGCTATATCCCTGAAATTCGGTTAATGCAATCCTTTGTCGAGTATCTCAACTCTTGTTCATAAATTCTTCAGAATTCGATTTGTAAGAAAATTATGTCATGGGATTCCCATACAAGCACTGTAATTCCTGACGCGTGTTGTCTGCCCGTCAAGATGGCTTCCAATACAAAACCGTTTCAGTTAACGTCTAGTTCCCAGAGGCTGGCCATTTTAATATTGATGAACCCTTGTCAGGCGATGAGGAAATACTCTATGGCTACTTTTGAAGGGATCTTATACACACAGCGTGATAATTGTCGAAGGACACCTGTGAAGTTCCTTAAAATACCCGTTTTTGTTTTGTTTTGCTTTTAGCTTTCCGTTATTGCACAGCAAAATGGCGCTTGTTTTTCAGATCGTTCGAATATTAAAGTAACACGTTGGCGTTGGCGAGACTGCGAGAACATCAACGCCACTGTGAAAACTGATGTGGAACTAGTAACGTATTGAAAAAGGGGTAAGGTTCTAATCATGTTTAGTTCGATACTTCTACCGTTTGTTTTTATTTTTATGTCGATTTATGAGTTAAAAACGGTTTCCCGCTGTCAGAAAATTGCATGCAGAGGTGCCAAGTTTAATTCGTATGGTAACTGTGTTCTGGTGTTTATTTGAACAGAACAATACAATTCAGCAAGTGATAATATTTTGCTTGGCAGCCCAGTTTCCACTTTATATAATGTTTGAGAAACAAATTCAATGTAGGTGAAAACTGAATTTTCAATTTCTGAAAACGGCTGTCATTGAAAAACGCTTTTTAAATTCATTCTACAATGAAAACAGCTCTGATGGAGCTGGTAAAGCCGAAAAATATGCTTATAGTTTATTTTGAGTTTATAATTTAGTTACTTATTTGTTCGTTTGTTTACATATTTTATTTATTTTTTTATTTATTTGTCCATCTTTTTATATATCTATTTATTTTAAGCTTTTTAAGATTCATAAACTTAAGTATGTTCGATTATCACTTATTTCCCTTTTCTGGTAAATAAAGCTTGAAATACAAATTCGAACAAAAACTGCATCGATTATTTGACGGCATACAGACGAAAGTTCATATTGTTTGCTTTTTTCTCGTTTGCTGTGTTAATTGTGAATACGACTGTTTCCTGGGAAGAAAATACTATCTGCTACCTCTAGACATGCAAAACCGACTCAAATCAAGCCGAAATTACCCAAATGAAATTGCGTTCCGAGAGAAGAAAAATAATGGCTGTGCACCATTTTAACACAATGGAGTGTGATTTCAACATAATGCTGTATTGTTGAAGCGAATTGGAAACGTGTCACATAGTCAAATTGCTCTGTTGCACCTGTCGCCGATTTTCAAACAAAGTATTCGTTTATTCATTTTCTTCCTTGTTTCGTCAATTTAAGTTATCTTATTCACGCAAGTACTCTGTTAGAATGTAAAATGTTTTGAATTTGCGGGCACTACAGTTTAATTGCTTTCATTTTCACGTTGTGACCTTTCATGGGAAACTGTGCATCGTTTTTCTCTGAGTATTACTTAATCTGAGGTATTTATATATTTCTGGCGGAAGATGTTTATCATAGGAAACTGAAGCCTATTTTTTCTGAAAGGACTTTTAACGCGCAGCTGTTGAAACATACGTGGACGGAAGAGGAAACAGTCACCCCTTGAGGAAACGACAGTGTTTGGACACTGTCAACGGTGAATTTGAAAAATAACAACGAAAGGAATGAGAGAATTGAAGTTATTGAACTTACCCACGCAAAGAAAGAATTGGCTTTTTTAGAGGACTCTAAAGGAGGACAACTTAATACGCAAGAATGAGTGGAGAGACTTCAAGTTTGGCCTCTTCAAACCAAACTATAAACCAAAGCGGTACTTTTGTAGTGAATCTTGTTTACTCTCGTACAGAGTTAGCATCTGGATGTACACTGGCGATTCTCAGTCCAATAACTGTGACTACAAACGTTTTACTGCTCACAGCCATCTTCAAAGATCCACTGAAATATTTCAAGAAACCAACGCGTTATTTTGTCCTCGGTCTTTCCGGGGCGGATTTGTTATGCGGCTTGTTTGTGGAACCGTTTTTCGCCTTGTATTATTTCGGTCGTTTCTTACGGGCAAGCGGTGAATTTCAAGCCATTTCACGGACGCTTTTTCTGATCGGCTCGGTTATTTCGACGGCGTCGTTAAATGCTTCATTCGTCATGGTACTCATGTTATCCGCCGCACAGTTCATCGCCATTGAATATCCTTACAGATACAAGACTTGGATCAAAAAGAAGTTTGTGCTGCCGTCGGTTTTAGCAACCTGGTTTTATTTCATTTTGTTCAGCCTGTTGTCTATCCTAGGCGTTGATAGAGACTTATTTTTCAAACTGAATTTAACCATCCACGCCTCACTGATCTCGGTGATTCTCGCAATTCTTCAAATCTTGACCTACAAGGCCTTTAGAGTACACTCCGAGCATCAAAAGATCAAGAGTATTGCCTCGTCATTATCGCGATCTTCGCAAATTGATTCCCCACAGAATGGCAACGGAAGAAAGTTGCTAACGAAAAAATCTTTTCGCTGTCGCGGACTTGACAGACATTTTATGGTTATGACATTCTACCTGTCTGCTATCCTACTCTTTTCAGCTTTCCCACATATTGGCGTGTTTTATGCCTTTTTGTACAAACAGCCACAGAGCATGTCAGAAGAACTAAATCTGAACGTTTTATTAAGAATAACCGATCTTTTGCTTTTTGTCAAGGTTGCGACAGATGCGTTCATATTTGCATGGCGACTTCCGACTTACAGAAAATCGTTAGACTTTTTAATAACTGGAAAACTACCACAACTTGAAACAGGCGTGTAAGTTAGTTTTAAAATGACGTCGATTACTCTCAACTGGAGCAGCTTTTGAAAAAAAAAAAGGAAGAAGAAGAAGCTCGTAGGCCACGTTCGATACATCAAAATTCTTGCATGGTTCCGTGGCTTTCAGGACAAACTTCTATGTATGGTAGTGCCGGTTTTCTTTGTTTGGGAATTGAGGGACAAAAGAAACTAGAAAAATTTGCAATTTTGTCCTGAAATTCTCGGAGCCATGTTAGAATATTGATATATCGAACGTGGCCAATTGTCGCATTTGTAATTAACGAACAGATTACACTGATTAAAAAAAATTATGTATTTGGTTGTGATTTTTAGTTTCACGGTTCGGCGCATGGCTAAGCGTTGACGTGAGCATCAAGTTACCTAAATTTTTCGCTCCTTCCGCCAACTTGAAGTTCACCAATATATGACGTAATCGCAGACAATATTTGGGCAAGCATGATAGGGCCCCGTGCACCCTACCCTTGGAGGGTCAGTACAACACGTGGACCCCTCCACCTAGACCCCTTTTGGACCCCCATCTGGGCCTAATCTGGACCTCGAATCTGGACCCTTTCTGGACGGACAATACCACGGATTAACACAGAAAATGCCGAATTAAGTATTGAACCACGAATTTATTATTCGGGCCGAATATTTTAATCTGGACAAACGCCTGAGTTTTGTATTCGCATCCTACTGGTTCGTAAACAAAGGAAGTGATTGCAAAAGGAATTCTTATGAGAAATAACACAGTCGCGACTTATCACGAAATTTTCAAAGGAAAATTTCCCGCAAAAGTCATTAGGGACCTTAAGGTTGAATTACAGGCACGAGATTGAGTACGGATAAGAGACGGAGTACGGGTACGATTTTCAAATGCAGCTTAATTCCAAACCAGCGATGTTTCCAGAGCCTTCGCTCTTCATGTTGGTTTTAGGTAGAGAAGGTAGCTCATGGGATGAGATGGGTATGTGATGTGATAATGTGAAACCTGCAAACTAGAACTGAAGTCGTTCTGGCACTCTGTGTCGTACTCAAATATCAAGTGCCCTGTTAACTCGCTGTTGACGGTTTTATCTCGCGTTACTGTTTGCAGATGCGCCGAGCCGTGAAACCATTGACCATCCCTTGTCAACTCGTAGATTCCACAGGATTTCGTTCTTGTTATCATTTTCCCGTATTTTCATGTTTATTTTTTTCTTTGAAAACTGAAAGGCCGCATGGATAATACTGAGAATTCTGTAAGACAACAATTAAGCCACAAGTGTTTCACATAAACTTAGATCTTTGTCAAGATGAAGTTGACATTTACCGCCGTAACGAGTTGGTGAAGCTGAGGTTTCCAGCATTTAATTGGTCAGAGCGGGACTTGAACCCGCGACCTCCGGATTTCAAGTCCGGCGCTCTAACCACTCTGCTACGCTGTCTCCCGTACGAGGACAAGGGTCTAGGTTGAGGCACTTACACACGAAACATCAGCGTCACAAACTCGCCATGGTGGGTAATCTACATTTACTAACCAAGTTGATGAATAGCTAAGTCCATCATTTCTGCGCCGAGCCCAGCCTAACCGTTCTAGTAAATCAACACCTCAGATATTTCACGCACAGTCGAATTCCTATAAAACAGAGCCTAAAATGTGTCTAACTCGAAGAAGTGATTGCTTCCCAGTCCCCCCTCACCCTTGGAGACCTTTTCTCTGAATCTCTTTAACTTGCGATCAGGCGTTCTTTATTCAAAGAAAAACGCCTGATCAAAGGTTACAAACTTTTCAAAGAAACCACAAGAATTTGATGATTGATTAATATTGATTAGTATTAGAGCGGTTTTCAAATGAGTGTCGTAAAACCAAAACCAAACCAATCAGATTTACTAATTAGACTACTCAGCCAATCTCAAACCCTAGTACGGTGGAACCCCGCCTTAGAGCCACCTCGTTAATACGGCCACCTCGTTATTACGGCCACTTTATTCCAGTCCAAACAAAGTCTCAGTCAGTCATTTGCTTATTCAAAGAACTCCCTTAATACGGCCACCCCGTTAGTACAGCCAGATTTTTGTGGCTGGTTGGTGACCGGATTAATGGGGTTACACTGTAACTGACCAAAACCAAAACCAAAGTAATTGCCTGATTACTTTCGACACATTTTAATGAGTAGTATTCATCCAAATGCCTTCTAACTTTCTAATATCAAACTCAAGTCAAAAGGACTCCACATTCGGCGACTAACACATTCACACTGCTGTTTGGAGCAATTTCAGACGAGCTGGATAATACGTTCTCTGTAATACGAGTGTTTCTCTTTACTTGCTGTACAATATTGTAAAAAGCTGTTTGCTCGAACGACAAATTAAGGAACTGGTCACTGGGTGTGAAACGCCATTATGGCATCGAGGAAGGTCGCGCAGGGTTTGGAGAAGAGCGTGCAAACGAGGGTACAGAGGGCGCGGCTGTGGAAAACGCGCCAAAAAATTCGGAGGCGAAGCCGGTGACGTCATCAGGTTTTCGAAGCAGTAGGAACTGTAGAAAGTCAGCTAGAAGGGCTCGTAGTTCTGGGTGTCGTCGCATGTAAGTAGCATGATCATCAGCCAACTCCGCCTAGAAACACAATCAAAGCCTGATAGTAAAAAATCTTTGGAAAGCATTAGACAGGCTTTGGCGCGGGCATTACCCGATTCGTTTGCACCTCGTACGTCCATATAAAACAAGGCAACCATAAACTTAAAAAGAACCCTTTAAATCCACGACAAAAGTAGCTTGTTGATTCCACTCTGAAAACACATCAAATGTTTTCCATCCAAACTATGCCGGAGAAATTTGGAAACGCAACAGTCAACAGTCACTGTGGAGTTGTGGTCAGGGAAATCACATGATTATCGTGAGGTCATCGTCCTCAAAGGCCTCGTTTTCAAAATGTGTTTCGTCCACACTAAAACGCAAAGCCGCGTTTTCAAATTCCTCCGGTTTAAAGAACGTTGTTTTCGAAAAGCTCCGTTTTCGTGACGGATTAGTGTGGACGGGACCTTGAAGTCTTCCGCCGAGTTTGCGGGTGCTTTGAATTGCTTACACTTTTTTTTTTGTTCACTTTCTCTCGCACTCTTTTTGTTCAGTTTCTCTCTCCGTGTCAATTTACAGATGCTGAGAATAACAGAGTTTCAAGGACAAGAGGTATCATTACCTTACGGTCTAAAAAACGTGAGAACAGTTGCATATCTTCCTCCCACTTTAGAGGTTTGACTGCTGATGTCTCTTCTGATACTTCTGTGTCTGAAAAAGACGGAAATTAATGAACTGCTATTGAAAAGTAACAATAAAAAACAGAAACCTAGAGTCCTGTGACAATCGCCGGGAACTCTATTAAAGGGTCATGCCCTGTAATCTGGGTCATTTCTTATCGTTAACGAGCGCAAAAGAACATTTTCAATATGCCAGTTCTGGTAGATACGTACCATTGGCAAGTACTTCCAAAAAACATTTCTTAGCATCAAACTGAATTATTTCTAAGTCCTAATGAAATCGATTACTGATAGTTTGAACGGTATTGAATCATTGGCGTTCAAGGCGCCTATTTTTCTTTTCCACCGAGCCAGATCAAACTATTCTGAATAATGTACCTGTATTCTGATGTTCCTCCGGTAATCTAAGTAAGGTCATGGTCACCCCTGAGCCCAGCTGTGTTCGACTTGCCAGGTACCTGGAAAATACACAGATAAACAATTAGCTTACAATAATTCTGAAGTGCACTCCTTGGCTATAAACTCTAACGCCTAGTACAGAGAGAAGAGACAATCACTTTACAATAATCCTGAAGTGCACTTATTGGGAATTTTTACCATCAGTAACGTAAAAGATAGAAAATTAACATTTTCGCACACAACTGTCTATGTAACCACATAATAACTCACCCAGTTGACAGGAGGAAAGATTCCCAAGTTGTGGGTGACTCCTCTACCGAGTGGATTGCTCTGCGCAGTCCGGTCACAGCAACTTGATGCATACCAATTTTCTGCAAAGACTTCCCGAGCATTTTCTGTCAGGGAACAATGCACACTGTCAAACTACATTGAAAAATTTTAAGGTCTTTAAACATCAATCTGCAACTCTGAAAAGAAATCATTTAACATTTATTCGCACTGTAAGCAAGAGAGGGAGAGAAAGTCGGTATTGTGTTCATCCGCCTCACGCTCTTCGCTCAGATTTTGAGCGTCACAGACAATTTTCTCCTTCCAAGTTCAGCTCTTGCAGCGTGATTTGTGAGTAAATCTAGTTGAGAGATGATTGTACAAGATTTTTCTTCAACTCACACTCGCTACAATGTATCATCCGTGCTCAATCAAATCAGCTTAAATTACGCAAGAAATGAAAGCATCTTTAGTCAAACAAGCAACTATCTCTAAAAATTTGAGCTGGCTCAAATAAATGCTAGAAGATAGCAGTTGATCAGAGCATAACTTGGAGAGTTTGAACTGTTGTTGACTTTCGTTAACTATTGTTTCTTTTGAAGACAACGGTACCCTCACTGACAAAACCAAATCAATATTTATCTTAGAGTCACGTTACCCAGAAAATAACTTTCAGTCAAACTTTCACAAGATTTAATTCTCCTTTAACATATAAATACATGTAATACATGCACTGTCTCCAGATTGTGTAAGGGTGCATTCCTTTGGGTGATCTGGATTAAGATCACTCAGATCATGGTACATCAAAAGAACCAATTATTCCCCTCTGGTCATGGATTTATCACCTCCATGATCTGAGTGATCTGAGTGATCTTGGATCACTGATCCTGATCCAGATCACCCCAAAGGAACGCATCCTAAAAAGAAACCTAGAAAACCCAGAGGAAAAAGCTCTAAACAGGACAAATTCTGGCTGCAGGATTCATTTTGGTATGGAAAGGGAAACTACTCTGTGAAATGGGTTCTTACATAGGATGAGGTACAAAGACTGGTGGTTGAATCAAAAGCGATAAACATCAAGTCATCTGGAACACCTCTCTTGACCATAATTCTTTGAAGCAACAAGTTTGAGCCTAAAAAGTACAAACAGATTCATCATTAAATTAAAAACTACAGAAGACAAAATATAATACAGAACAATGAAAATTTTGATAGACATGCTATACAGAAAGAGCAAGTCAGGTTTTTTTTTTGAAAGTACTGACTTGGTCCCTGCTGCCTTAACATAAATTTCTTCCCATGTGATGCTTCGCAGTAACTTTATAACTACAGCTGTAGTAAGCAAACAGCTAACATTACTGAATAGCAGACCTCCCTTAATACCTGAATAATAATATTAAAAGATACTGACCTTCAGATATGAAACCCTGAAATTGTTCCTTTTTGTAATATTTATCAGTCCTTTGTGTTTCCTATGAAAAAATAAAGAGCACATGTACAAGTATTAATCAGCAAGCCTATACCCGTCAAGTAATCATATTTACCACATAAAATAACCCAAGAATTTGCCCTAAGTTGAATTTGATTCCAGAACTCCTTCCTCTGAGGAACCAAACACCATCACTAGGAAATTACTGGAACCACACTAGTAACAAGTAACACTAGTAAATTTCCAGTCGATAAGAAATGCCTTTAGTTACCCTCTGGAAAACATCACAGTCAGGTTGACAACACAACAGACCTCTCCTTGTGATTCAGTCTTTTTCACAGAATATGTCCCATCCTCATCAAGAACGATCAAAGTCTTTTTATCTAGTGGGTTATCTGGTATCTAAAAAGGTCAGAAAAAGGCTATGTTAGGTTTTTTGTAAGTTAACTTTACAACTTCCTGTATTTTGTTAAATGTGTATTTTGTAATTTCACTGATGATGATGGCGATGATGCAAAATCAAGCATTTTTCTGCAAATTAATTTCTCCCCAAAATTTCCACATAATTTGTTCTTTTTTCCGCACCCTGTCAGATGGCATGAAAATCTAAACTCTTAGTATTAACTATTATGACCAATACTAATCACTGTGATCTCACCAATCAGAGAACAAAATACATGTAAAAGAAAATAAAACTTGACATCCTAATTTCACAAGAGACCATAAAGTGATATCAGCATTATGGAAAAACTACATGTAACAACCATAATATTCAATCGCTCTGTCATAAACACTTAATAAATTTCACAGTTGAGGAGATCAGGGACCTTACCTTGACATATTCATAGTGGGTTTGTTCAAATGTCTGAAGTGACCTTCCAACATATGCTGCAATACATAGAAGGCAAAAAANATTAGTGTGGACGGGACCTTGAAGTCTTCCGCCGAGTTTGCGGGTGCTTTGAATTGCTTACACTTTTTTTTTTGTTCACTTTCTCTCGCACTCTTTTTGTTCAGTTTCTCTCTCCGTGTCAATTTACAGATGCTGAGAATAACAGAGTTTCAAGGACAAGAGGTATCATTACCTTACGGTCTAAAAAACGTGAGAACAGTTGCATATCTTCCTCCCACTTTAGAGGTTTGACTGCTGATGTCTCTTCTGATACTTCTGTGTCTGAAAAAGACGGAAATTAATGAACTGCTATTGAAAAGTAACAATAAAAAACAGAAACCTAGAGTCCTGTGACAATCGCCGGGAACTCTATTAAAGGGTCATGCCCTGTAATCTGGGTCATTTCTTATCGTTAACGAGCGCAAAAGAACATTTTCAATATGCCAGTTCTGGTAGATACGTACCATTGGCAAGTACTTCCAAAAAACATTTCTTAGCATCAAACTGAATTATTTCTAAGTCCTAATGAAATCGATTACTGATAGTTTGAACGGTATTGAATCATTGGCGTTCAAGGCGCCTATTTTTCTTTTCCACCGAGCCAGATCAAACTATTCTGAATAATGTACCTGTATTCTGATGTTCCTCCGGTAATCTAAGTAAGGTCATGGTCACCCCTGAGCCCAGCTGTGTTCGACTTGCCAGGTACCTGGAAAATACACAGATAAACAATTAGCTTACAATAATTCTGAAGTGCACTCCTTGGCTATAAACTCTAACGCCTAGTACAGAGAGAAGAGACAATCACTTTACAATAATCCTGAAGTGCACTTATTGGGAATTTTTACCATCAGTAACGTAAAAGATAGAAAATTAACATTTTCGCACACAACTGTCTATGTAACCACATAATAACTCACCCAGTTGACAGGAGGAAAGATTCCCAAGTTGTGGGTGACTCCTCTACCGAGTGGATTGCTCTGCGCAGTCCGGTCACAGCAACTTGATGCATACCAATTTTCTGCAAAGACTTCCCGAGCATTTTCTGTCAGGGAACAATGCACACTGTCAAACTACATTGAAAAATTTTAAGGTCTTTAAACATCAATCTGCAACTCTGAAAAGAAATCATTTAACATTTATTCGCACTGTAAGCAAGAGAGGGAGAGAAAGTCGGTATTGTGTTCATCCGCCTCACGCTCTTCGCTCAGATTTTGAGCGTCACAGACAATTTTCTCCTTCCAAGTTCAGCTCTTGCAGCGTGATTTGTGAGTAAATCTAGTTGAGAGATGATTGTACAAGATTTTTCTTCAACTCACACTCGCTACAATGTATCATCCGTGCTCAATCAAATCAGCTTAAATTACGCAAGAAATGAAAGCATCTTTAGTCAAACAAGCAACTATCTCTAAAAATTTGAGCTGGCTCAAATAAATGCTAGAAGATAGCAGTTGATCAGAGCATAACTTGGAGAGTTTGAACTGTTGTTGACTTTCGTTAACTATTGTTTCTTTTGAAGACAACGGTACCCTCACTGACAAAACCAAATCAATATTTATCTTAGAGTCACGTTACCCAGAAAATAACTTTCAGTCAAACTTTCACAAGATTTAATTCTCCTTTAACATATAAATACATGTAATACATGCACTGTCTCCAGATTGTGTAAGGGTGCATTCCTTTGGGTGATCTGGATTAAGATCACTCAGATCATGGTACATCAAAAGAACCAATTATTCCCCTCTGGTCATGGATTTATCACCTCCATGATCTGAGTGATCTGAGTGATCTTGGATCACTGATCCTGATCCAGATCACCCCAAAGGAACGCATCCTAAAAAGAAACCTAGAAAACCCAGAGGAAAAAGCTCTAAACAGGACAAATTCTGGCTGCAGGATTCATTTTGGTATGGAAAGGGAAACTACTCTGTGAAATGGGTTCTTACATAGGATGAGGTACAAAGACTGGTGGTTGAATCAAAAGCGATAAACATCAAGTCATCTGGAACACCTCTCTTGACCATAATTCTTTGAAGCAACAAGTTTGAGCCTAAAAAGTACAAACAGATTCATCATTAAATTAAAAACTACAGAAGACAAAATATAATACAGAACAATGAAAATTTTGATAGACATGCTATACAGAAAGAGCAAGTCAGGTTTTTTTTTTGAAAGTACTGACTTGGTCCCTGCTGCCTTAACATAAATTTCTTCCCATGTGATGCTTCGCAGTAACTTTATAACTACAGCTGTAGTAAGCAAACAGCTAACATTACTGAATAGCAGACCTCCCTTAATACCTGAATAATAATATTAAAAGATACTGACCTTCAGATATGAAACCCTGAAATTGTTCCTTTTTGTAATATTTATCAGTCCTTTGTGTTTCCTATGAAAAAATAAAGAGCACATGTACAAGTATTAATCAGCAAGCCTATACCCGTCAAGTAATCATATTTACCACATAAAATAACCCAAGAATTTGCCCTAAGTTGAATTTGATTCCAGAACTCCTTCCTCTGAGGAACCAAACACCATCACTAGGAAATTACTGGAACCACACTAGTAACAAGTAACACTAGTAAATTTCCAGTCGATAAGAAATGCCTTTAGTTACCCTCTGGAAAACATCACAGTCAGGTTGACAACACAACAGACCTCTCCTTGTGATTCAGTCTTTTTCACAGAATATGTCCCATCCTCATCAAGAACGATCAAAGTCTTTTTATCTAGTGGGTTATCTGGTATCTAAAAAGGTCAGAAAAAGGCTATGTTAGGTTTTTTGTAAGTTAACTTTACAACTTCCTGTATTTTGTTAAATGTGTATTTTGTAATTTCACTGATGATGATGGCGATGATGCAAAATCAAGCATTTTTCTGCAAATTAATTTCTCCCCAAAATTTCCACATAATTTGTTCTTTTTTCCGCACCCTGTCAGATGGCATGAAAATCTAAACTCTTAGTATTAACTATTATGACCAATACTAATCACTGTGATCTCACCAATCAGAGAACAAAATACATGTAAAAGAAAATAAAACTTGACATCCTAATTTCACAAGAGACCATAAAGTGATATCAGCATTATGGAAAAACTACATGTAACAACCATAATATTCAATCGCTCTGTCATAAACACTTAATAAATTTCACAGTTGAGGAGATCAGGGACCTTACCTTGACATATTCATAGTGGGTTTGTTCAAATGTCTGAAGTGACCTTCCAACATATGCTGCAATACATAGAAGGCAAAAAAAATGTAGTAAGCAAGACTGTTGTATGGAACTAAATCATGCATGTACATGTAGTCTGTCCAGATGCTGACTGTGGCGTGATTCATTGACTAATGGTTAGGAATCTGGATAGAGGTGTAATACACTAACCTGTCACAGATGTGCCAATAGGTACTTGATCTACAGATCCATGACTGTTGGCATGAACCAGGTAGCATGGCTCTCCTCTCCATGTGGCATTTTCTACAGTCACTGTCATTTCACCTATTTCCTAGTGTGGACAGTAACAACAAAATGATTTAATTGTTATATGGAGTTGCTCCTACATGCACTTCTCCAACAGTCTTGTGCAGCTCAATGACTGGAAATTTTAAGAAATTTATTGTTCCTCCAAAGCCCCAGTGGCAAACCTCATTAAAAGATGTACACCTACAAATGAAACTGTTTCTCGCCAAAAGTAGCTGGGCAGGCAACATTGCAAAATTGATAATTTCAGAGGGTACCTGTACCCTGTTAATCATAAATAAAGGACTGCTGTTTTCACAACGTTTGAGCAAAGAAACAAACACAGCTACATGCACAGATTTTCATCTCATCAACCCTGATTAACGTGAAAAGAAATATAATGTTTGTTGTGCATGGTGTTGTGAAGATCAGACTAATGCAATGTACTTACTCTGCCAGTTTGAGAGGTGGTAATCAATGAATCCGAAAACAACAATGAGTTCCATACATCATCATCTGTATATAGAACATTAAAGAGTAACTAGAACTGCGACCTGATCCTCAAGGTATTGTTAGGAGGGAAGGGTAGGTAGGTGTCACGGACTAGATCTAAGAAACCTTGACCCTGTACCAGCCCTTAAATGCTGCTCTGTAAATGTGAGTTTAAAAAAACGTTTATGTAATACTATGTACAAGTACAATGTATGTATCCCCGGTGAGAAAGCTTGCAGGATATTAAAATTCATGTCAAACATACTAAAAGATAACGATCTTTCAAGGATCCTTAAGAATCTGACTACAAAGGTTTTTTTTTTTATGATATTGAGTTGCTATAATGAAAATCATAGTAGAGAACTTTGCAGTATAATTATTTACTCCTCCAGGTCGTAAGGATTTGACAAAGATTTTATCAGAACCTTAACACACTTCTACATGTATGCTGGAATTAGCCAAGATCCCTTGAAACCTTTGGGGATTACCAATGAAAATCCTCAAAGATCCTCACCAAGATCTTCTGATTTTCACCGGCTGATAAATTTAATTTCAATAATAATACAGCCTTAAAGGCCAGACTAAAGCTAATATCTCCTCAAGAGGTTTGATTATGACATTTAATACATGTATCTTATTGATAATACTACAGGTACTATGTTCTATCAACTAGAGTGTAGAGAAAGAGCACTTTTTTAGGACTAAAACCTTTGAAAACCAAACCCTGCCCAGTTCATGGCACGTCACTTACAACTGAATTCTTCACCAAGTATTCTGATGATCGGTCATGTACTGTACAACTTTACACAAGTGTATGTTGACATCTGGTTGAAGCAAGAAAGTGGTAAGTCACCTCACAAAAGCAATATATTCCAGACCATGGTTTTCATAGTTTATCAGTACAATTGTTGTTAAAGGAATATATCTAGAGAGTTTGAAAATTACTCATCTTCGAATTGTGAATTGACAAACGTTTCTTTGTATTCCATCAAAATCCTGCATGGCTTATTGCATTTGTTAAATGATCATGTACTATTTTACAGTACTGTTTTCTATCCACTCAGGATCAATCAAATACAATATCAGGGCTTGTTGCTAGTTAATGAGTAAAACATGTTTCAGACTGCTTTACATGCCATGAATTAGATATGCAAAATCTTTCGCAATATCATGTTGCCTTAATTGCTTCCAGCAGGCCAGAGTCTAAAATTTGGATTCTTTGCAAATTTTGTAACAAACCCTAAATAGAGTACAGTAGATGTTTCTGAACAGCTGTTACTTCCACCATAAAACATGACACAACAACAAGGGGAATTATGCAGTATCTACAATTCCAGATTCTTCAATAAGCTCTCCAAAAAGCATCTTGAACAAAATATAAACATAACCCGACCATATTATCAGAATCTGATGGTATAATCTCCCACCGATACGGATTTGTTTCCAAATCTGGATGGGAGTCACAGAAGTTAATTTTGATGTTGATATTGGCCTTGCTCCAAGGACTTCTATCTCATTTTGCAGCTTCCTTCCCAAACTAAAAGTTCAAAATTTTTATCTCGCACTTGAGGGTCACAGGTTTGCCAGCTACAAGACTGTTAAGTGTCAGCTGCATCGATCAGATTACATGTACATTTACTTCTGATCATTTTAAAGCATGGGGATTGCACTTATCCATCTCACCAAACAAAAGAATCCAGTTTTTTGGCTCTGTAGGGCATCTTTGTTACATCAAGTTGCATTGTGCACGTACCAAACAACACAAAAACATTCTTTCATGTAGGATGATATCACCTTGTTAGCCATGCAAGCCATTTACACAGGATGAAACTCGCTGGTAACCACACTAAACAGATAGGTTTCCCAACCCAGAAAATAAATTAAAACTTTCACTACTTTCACATTTTTGTGACGTCCACAAAAGACCTGACAACATATGGAATCCTACGTAATAATATTTTATTAGAATTTCCTTTTGGTAATAAAAACTGCACAGAGTATAATTTTCCACAAAACAAAAAATAATGTTCAGATGAGAAAATATAAGACAGCGTTAAGTGGTAATCTTGAATAATTAAACGTATTATTAAGTACTAAAACCCACGTTCAACATTACTTGAACGATCTTGTTTTGTTTTTAATCCCAACAAAAAAAAGCATTTACTTTGCCCCCCAAAAAATTAAAGTATTTTAAGAACTTGAGAACGGATCAGCCTCCTCTGTTTCTATTTTGGGCAAAGGTGAAATGTGTTGATATTAAAAAAGCAAAAAAAAATTTCAAGTTTTCACGAGAAAACAGAAACACGACCCACTGGAAGATGGAAATATTGCGTCAGGAACCAGATAGAATTACTACATTGAACATAATTATTTCCATGTTGATGTTTAAACAAGTGTTCTTGATTTGAAGCGACGAAAATACGCACCGGCGTAACTTCATGTCGGGCAGAAATTTGCATCAGAATTCATTTCCCTTATCTCACAAACAAAGCTTCATATATGCAATACCTTTATTTTGATACGCAAGGGAGTTAAAACTTTTCCGTCCAAGCAGAAAACTTGACTGGATTTTTTTTGTGTGTAATCAATATTGACTTCCCTGTCATATTTGACGACATTCAATCTTCTCGTAAAAATTCTGCAGAAAATCACATCGAGCAAAACTATCAGTTTCGATCAACTTGCTTAAGGCTAAATACACCCATCGGTTCGACAAACAATTTCAACCACATGAACGCGGGGCATATATAAACATAAGTTACACTTGTACAAGCTTAAAGAACACAGAAATTAGGCTTAAAAGGTTTAAATGCACGGGTAATTATTTCACTGACTGCGATATTTTGCAATAACCTCTAAGCTAGATTGATGTCATTTCGTAAGCGCTGATTGTTGATTATTGTATTCTCCTGTGGATAAAGGCAATTTGAATAACTGGTAAGACTCATAACAGGCAGGATGAACGTCAAAACAACCCAAGCTGGTCGGTGGTTAATTCATAAGCCCTCTTCTACACTGACCAAAACAAGCAGAAACACTCATTTAACAACTCACCTATGCTCGAAAGAAATTCTACGGCCTGTTCGTTCGCCATGACCAAGGAAGCGGGAACGTTCTCTGCGCTAAAAATATACAAAAGCAACAGGGCAAGTTAGTTTACATAGTTCATTTTCCACTGATAAATGACTGAACATAGTCTAAACGAAAACTGTAAGCGAAAACCGAACGCGAAACTGGCGCTTCACACCAGTTTTACACTCGCCTGTGCCCGTTTTCCGCCTCCATTTGCACTTGTAAAGAAGCTGAGCTGGTGGCAATTATCTGGCTGAAGTGTTGCTCCTCATGTTAGGGAAACCGGAGAAAGAAAGGCGAACATCATTATACAACTCGGTCAAACCGCTTTTCCATATCAATAACAAATTCCCGCGCGAGGAATTGACACTCGTTGCCTCGACAACCGCATACGTCATTGATTTGATAACAAGAGTGACAAGACGAGATGACAAGATGGCCCACTTCGATAACGGTGTTGTTTTGTCTACGAGTTTTTACGGGTTGGAAATAAACAATCAAAGATATTACGGTTTTTGTAATTACTGATTTTTCTTCCTGACGGAATTTCCTGATAAGACAAATTACAGATGTTGTCACTGGTTGTCACGCAAGTCACGCAACGTTTTTCGCCAAAAAAAGTTGAGGGAAGTGTTGCGTGACCATCCAAAGTAAGTCATATTTTACACGAGTTTATATCTTCATCCATCAAATAAATGGAATTTTCTTACAGTTTTGATATTGTGAGCTTTGTGTAAGAGTCATAGCCAGTTGAATACAAAATATGCAAAAAATGATCCCAAAGAAACTTTATTTATTGCAATTTATTATTACAGAGTCATTATAATCTAAATGTGAGCTATATTCTACTGCTATTGAATGCAACCAACGACATACATGTATCACAATAAACTCAATATTACTAATTACTCAAAACCAAAATATTGTTCACTGCAACCTATGACCCATGCTGCACAGCTATTGAAGAGAAAAGTTTACTGTTGTATATTGTTAAATGTAATTTTAAGTGTCAGAAAAAAAAAACATAAATGACCTTAATAAAATTTAAACGTGGAATTATATTGCCAAATCAACAGAAACTGTGATATTATTCAGGAGTGACGCAACAAGACCTCAAGGGTGATGTGATCATACCTCAAAATCACACGGCATAAACAATGATATTGGTTTGTTCAAGGTGCTAATCAGGTGATAATATCTTAAAAAGATATCAAATGAAACTCAAACTACAAAAATAGTCTTTGAGAGGGCCTCTACAATACAACTAAGATGAAAAAATTGTATAGCGATTGTCAGGGTTAGAGACTACACCTTACTTTAAAGGTACAATTTAATACATTCTCCATCTTTCGACCTTTTCTTTCCCAATTTAAAAAGTTCTCTTCAAATCGCCATCTTTCAGATAATTTGCATATGTTTCACACATTTTGCTATGTTTTAACAGTATTATATTGTTTCAGTAGCCACACCCTTAATTGTCCCACTGATTCAGTGTAGGGAGTTTTTGACATTTTTTTGACATATAGTAATCAAAAACTCTGGATCTGAAATAGTTTGGCAAAATGCCATTAGGTCATTTGAAAGCATTTTACAGTGCTATTAACATATAAATAAAGGCATCTTTTGTTAACACTTAAGTTATCCTTCTGTTTCGGTGTATGAGTTTGTCTTGTGTTTGGGAATGAAGCAGAACTTTCCCGGCACAGGACCTAACAACATCTCACTGCCAAGAGATGAAAAGAGAAAATCAAATTGTTAGTAAAATGTACAAGGTAACTAACAGTTAATTAAGCATTTGCAGTATGCAATTTTGGGGAATTTATACCAGATTGTTAACCATAGGAAATTCAATAAAAGGGAAAACCAAATACCTACAACCTAACAATATCAACATTGGGCTAGTATTGACAAGATTCATGCTATACAGACAATTTCAGTGGTGTCTTGCAGTGTGGCATGTCGCAAATGTTTTAGTGCACTGATTGAAAGGTGTTACAAAAGGAACCATTGTGCAGGGATATTACAACAAATACATTGATTTAATGTATTTGTTTTACATGTCTGCACAATCAAGCCTTTGTAAGTCATGTAACACCTTTCACTCAATGTGCTAATTTGCTTGTCACACCTTAAGTGCTTTTAACACTAGTGGTGGATCCAATGTACATATTTTTTGTTCTTTTTTTTCTTTAAAGCATAATACCTTTTACCCATTGTACTGTAACAGCTGAGCGAGTGAGAATATTAAGAACTAGCCAGATTAGCCAAAGAAGTTTAATGCTTTTTTTCCTTTTCCTAGCCGTTTTTACACATTAAATTATATGCCTGTTGCATATTGCATCTCAGTGAAGTTATTGAATTTTTTATTTGGTTTGTTGTTGTTGTGGTTGCTATTGTTGTTTCTGCTCAGTCTGGTTTAATACAAGTTGCAAGAAAACTGTTTCTTACAAAATTATTATCAGAAATTGTATTTCTTAACATTAAAATGAAGTTTGTTATTACATGTACTTAATAGGTCTCACATGACCTTGTGACGATCCTAACATGGTGACATGAAAACAAAAACAACTAACATATCAGACACTACAGAGTCAGACATAATTTTTCACAGATGTGTCCTAGGGAATTAATAATAATTCAATTGCCGTGCAATAAACAGTAATTTCTACCTTATTTTGACCCAGTCAGCACAATCACTGCTTGACAACAAAGTTTCCAGATCATTCCGGCCATAATAAGGTGGAGGTCTTTCATTGATTCGCTGAGGAAGCCTCTCCAGCAGACCAACAGGAATGTAACTGTAGAGAACAATTAATTAGGTAAAGGTAAAGGTAAAGGTAAACTTTATTTAGCCAGGGTGGCCCATTCAACGACAAGGCTGATATCCAGAGGAGCCCTGGTTTCTAAAGATTTCTCTAGATTTCTAAATCTATAAAGAAATGTCTCAAGGCTTTCAAATATGATTTTTACACTTACCGACACTGGAATGACAACCACTCAAGAAGAAATCTCCTGGTGTTTTCAACTCCCTAAAAGACAGATTTAAGAACAAAACTCTTGTTAAGTCCTTACCCAATAGATGTAACTCTCATTTTGAGAAGATTTCAAGACTCAAGTATTGACGAAGAAATGTGAAAGGAAATAAGAGATTTAACTAAGTTATGTAAGTGGCCTTAAACCTAACATCTGTATATTCCTCATTTTAAAAGACCAGTGGTCATATAATATATCTTAACATACCATTGAGTCAGAACCCCAGTGTTCCAAACCAAAATTGACAAAATCTCGCAGCATATCAAAGCGTTCACTGGATGAAATGTCCCAATGCCTAACACATAGGAAATGCTAAGTAGACTTAAGCTATCACAAATAATAATACATATACAAGGAAGTTTACATCTGTCAAAATATTAATTATCAAAAGTCATTCTTTCTCGGAATGCCTAATCTGGATCTGGTTTAAAGAACTTTTGATACTAAAGAACACTAAAACTAGTGGTTTAAACTTAAAACTTGCCTGTTTTCCTTTATCTCTGTAAATATCCAAGGCTTAATTAAGGCCCCTCTGAAAAGCAAATTAAAATTATTCAAAAAAAAATTAAAAATCTTTACAAAGCCAAGACCCACAAGTGCTCAAGAAATTATAATAAAAGTTTTCCTTTTAATTAAGAATTGAGACAGCAATTTACTTATAGAGGATAGTATCGTTCTTAAAATCAAGGGAACACTAATTAAAAGTATGTTTTACCTTGCTATCATCAAACCAGACACACCAGTTTGTTCCTTTCGAAGAATAGCATCTTCATAGGAAAGGATGTCTCCATTGCCTGTCAAATTTATCCAGAAACAAGTTACTCTAAGTACTACCAAATAATTATAACCCAACACTAACATGGAAAAATCTACCATGTTCCAGACTCCCCCCACCCTACTCCCTTCTGACAAACCAGTTTAATTTTCATCAAAGACGAAGGGGGAGTCTGGGACCAACAAATATGGGGAAATTTCAACAATTATTGCTTGCAAGCATGGTCTAATGGATCTGAAGACCGACTACAAAGTCAGCAATGAGGTGTTGAAATCTAGGTAGTACGAATAAAAAAAAAAAACATTGTAGTGGTATGGGAGTAGTATGTTAAATATCGTGCAATTGATATAGGATCCTGGCAGAGGTAGAGTAGGGTTAGGGACTAAAAGGGGTAAGACAGGGTTAGGGACTGAGGGTGGAGTGGTGTGCATGTTATTCTTTTTAAGAACACCCCAAAAAAGTGAGGAAAAAAATACCTGGTTTGAAAAGTTCAAAGCAGAGGTCAAAATTGAACGACAACTGATACAAACAAATGATAGAAATGTTTCCAAGTCACCTACCAAACAATGGCATCGGGGAAGCAGCCTTGGCACACTCATTAATGTATTCCCAATCTGCCAACCTTGTGTATCGCTGTTCTCTTGAGCGACCATGGAGCTAGACAAGAAAAGAGAACAGAAGAGTGTAGCTTACAATTATATTAATAATGTTTTTTTTAGATTTTGCTTTCTTGAATGATAGTTTTTTACTGACTGAGTAGTTTCTGTAATTATACATATTTCCTCGGGGGGGAGGGGGGGGGTTGTTGGACTCCCTATCCCTGGGATTTTCTGTTCCACCGAGTCTTGAACTTGCAATCACAAAATTCCCCCATCTATGAAATGTTCTGATTTTAAAACTGTCTTTTAATGCTAAGAAGAAGTTTTAAAGTTCTTGAACAAAAACTACATCACATTCAGTAACTAATAAACTAGCAACTAAAAAAATCAAGAGTCCACTATCAAGTTTATGAAAACAAAACAACAGATTTTTTCCCCTATTAAGGACCACAGAGAAAGGGAGAGATGTTGATAAGTCTAGAAAATTGGCATTTGAGTGGACAAAATTCAACTGACTGCACATTGACTTACAGTAACAAGAGACACGTCCCATAACTTGAGGTTGGAGACGAGTTTGTGCGCATTCCATGCAGTCTTCTTATCACTGATGCCCGTTCTCATCTTCACTGTCAGAGGGATGTCAAGGACCTTAAACAGCCATGAGAGATCAACATAAAATTTGCAAGTTCCAGTAAAATCAAACATTGACAAGCAAGCAGAATCAGATTATTTAAAGTTGTGAGCAATGATCTGGATGATAAGTGCTCACTGCACCTCTTTTTGTTACTTTTTAAAGTATTTTACGTCTAATAATTACACACAGTGTGAATGGTATACAGAACAAATCAAAGTTGCACTCTTCACTTAGTGATTATACAACAGGTTTTAATATCTGTCATTCTGTCTTTGCATATTAATAAAAGTGTTCCCAATAAGTAGAAGGGTGTTTCCTCTCAGCTAGATAAATATCAACACATCAGTAAAGTTTTTGATTGATTGATTGATTGATTGATTGATTGATTGATTGATTGATTGATTGATTGATTGATTGTGTGTTCATGCATGTATTTACATACTTACGTAGTTCATACCCCTGACAATCTGTTCAAACTTTCCAAATCTCCCCATCAGAGCACTGCCAGCTCCCTGAAAGGAAACATTATTGAAAACATTTCATTCAAGACCAAAATGTAATTTATTGTTACAGTCATCACCATGTGAACTCCTCAATGCAGTCCTATAGTAACCTTACATGCAGCACTGAGTGAAGCTGGTGTACTTAAGAGATGGGGGAAAGCGTTGATAAGAGCTGGAAAGTATAAACTGCCAAGTCCTGTACACATCTGCCATTCATTTGGTGGGTGTGTAATCTAACATCAACCAACTACAGAAGACATTGCCACAAATCTCCAACCAAATCAAGCTTAGAAAATAATATGGTATGAGAAATACTTGTTGTAAGTTACAATGTAATTAGACTGGATGGGCAAATATTGGACTCTGTTAATTTGTTAATGGCTTCAATTAAACTAACTTAAAGTCTATTTGCCATCATCTTGAAAATACTAATAAATTAAAGCTATACCTGCTTAAAGACTAAGTCAATGGGGCAGCCAATATTGATGTCAACAAAGTCAATAGGAACTTCATTCTGAAGAAGCTCAGCACATCTTGTCATGGTGTCAGGGAAAGAGCCGCACAGCTGCAATAAAAAATAATTCAGCAAATGAAATATTTATTTCTCAGAGGATGTGAAAACGTCAATGTAAACTACATGGTGTCAAAGTAAAAACTAAGTGAATCATCTTCCATTATGAATAAACAAAAATAAACTGTGCCAAGCATTTAGCTACCAATTCAACATTTATTTGCCCCAAGTCTGATCACATATAGAAAACAATCATCAGCTATACACATGCAGTGATAAATTAATAAAAATTACCATTTTGATCGTAATCACATATCTACCAATGAATTCTCAGAATTTAATGTGAAAGAAATATTTGGCAAATTATAGAAAAGGGGAAGATGTTAGAGTATTAATTTAGAAATAGATGTTACATTCAACGCTAACCTGTGCACCAAAAATGTCCTCAGAGCTGTGACGCTTTAGTAGGGCCCATTCTGACATGCTAGCCTAATCGGGCAGATAGAATGCAATTATTGTCACAGGCTTAAATCAATTATAAGTTTAACAAATTGACATCAGTTTTTCATGCTTCTGTCCTGTTATTGATCACAAATTTTGCACTAACATTGTCCAATAAAAACTGTGGATCCACGAGCCAATAGTACCACTCAAAGTTTAACTCAAAGTTCAGAAAGTGATTTAAAATACAGTAAGCCTAAAATCATTCATCATGAAGGCAAAACCAAGAGAATGGATAAGTTTGCAAACTGATAGTCTTAAAAGATTTTCCGAAATGAATAGGAACAATTAACTATTTGAGTACACTTGTAAAACCAATAAAGTAAATTAAACTAAAATAATCTGAAAGTAATATAATTTGCAAAAATAATAAACATATAACAAAACAGAATGATATTAAAATAAAATGAAATTGACCCACCTGAAGAAGCTTTGTACACATGGCCATTTCACTGCAAGTTACATCTGCACCAAACTGCTTACAGATCCTCCGGAATGGTAGATTTCCAACCTGTAGGTGTTAACAACAAAACTAATAAGGGTTGGTGACAGTTGAGCCAAGTAGCTCCTAAATATATTACTTTGGACTCAATATCATACACTGACTAGGAGTATTAAACAAAATATTTCTTATCCTCTAAGAAATCCCACTGCATTGCTGTCAAATGGCCTTTAGTTTGTAATTCATCGACACCTATTTAGACTACAACTGGGTGGAGAGAGACACTGTTAAAGTAATTTAGGTTGGAGGTTGGGTGCTTGAGACATCCAGGACTGAGGAACTTCCACTATTGGCAGCCAGCATCAAGATGGAGATCATGACAGCCTCTAAGAGGAGCCTCCAAGCTCAAGAAAATGCTAATGCTCAAGAAAACACTGAATAAATGATCACCAGTCAGACCATGTTTTTTTTTTTAAAATGATGTACATGATGAAACAACAAGTCTGTCAACTTACAGTTGTGAGTGGTGCTAAATAGAGCTTGTCAGCAAAATTAATCTGAAAGAGAGAAGAATTGATTAAAACATAAGTAAGCTCATTAACCTAGATGAGAAGAATTACATTTGATTTATAATTTATTACTAACAGTGCTTTGCACAATACCATTGCCACTTGAGAATGTTTTTGATTAAATTTTGGCATATTTTTGATGATGTTTTCTCAACTTTGTGCTAGCTTCTGTTTGAAGCGGCCGATCAAAACATGGGAAATGTCAAGGGCAGTGATGTTAAATTGTCAAATTCCTCATTCTCTCTTGCGGAAATTTCAAAAGTCTCAACTTGCCAAAGTTTGAAACCAGTGGTATGTTGTTGCAGTTTGATTGCTCATTTAAAATAGAAGCCATCAGAAGTTGTCCAAACATTGACAAAAAGTTGCAAAAAACTAATCAAAAATTTTCCTTTCTTGGCGATGGTAAAACATATAGCAATGCCATTATTTTAGTACAGCAATGAAAAATAGCAATAGCAATGTTCTGATTGGCTAATGAAATGTATAAAGATAGTAACAGTGGCACTTGAAAGGATTAGACATCTTAAGCTTGAGTTAAATCATGGCATTCATTGGTTAATTTAGCGTGGGAATTTTTCCTCTTTCATAAACTCTACAAGATTCAGGGGAAACCTGAGTCACTTGTGCCAGGGTAATGAGTTTTCAGATACAGATGTTTTCACATCACCGGTATATCCAATGTCATATTTCTCTTAAGAACTGAAGGCATAATGCCATCCATTTGACAGTTATATTAAATTTACCTTTTTCTTTTCTTCTGGTCTAAGCTTGATAACATCCTCATCAGTCACAGCTCCTTCAGATTTTTCACAAATCTTAGACAAACTTCCAAGTTCACTATTTGGTTTACCTTCAGCTTTCACTTTTGCAAGGTGCTTCAAGAAAGTGTCTGAATTGGTAAACTCATACTTCTTTTTCCGTAATGCAAACATCAGCTCCTTACTTAAAACAGTCTTTGTCCTTAAAGGTGCAGTCTCCTCATACAACTCTTTGTTCACAATGTTTTTAAAACTCTTCGAAATGTGATTCTTTCCATATCTACAAGTCACCCCATAGGTGCATTTACCAAATTTCTCAAAGTTTATGCAAGTTTCTCCAATGTCAGGAGGTTTATAATTTTCCATATACTTTTTAATATCATGCAGATATCTGCATTTGTCATCCCCGTACCCACATTCTTCACCCTTGGCAATACTGGTACATAACTGTTGTTTGAAATCTAGTTTTGCCACTCTTGGTCTGTTTTTGTTCATGCCACGCTTTTTCTTCTTTTTAGCTGGTGGTTCTCCGGATTCACCTTCTTTGTTATCTTCATTTGTCGATTGCGTTTCAGTGTCTTTGCTAGCTTCACTTTCACCTAAACTGATCTTACTTGTGGCATGTTTTGAAGTTTTCTTTAAATACCTGGTATTAAAATATTATGCAAAAAAGTGTGGTTATTTTTGAGCGACTATTTTTACCACGCGAATGAAGGTCATCATTAACATTACACTAAGCAAAATTCTAACAAGGCAAGATCTATGACCTAACATTTTGAATCTATTTCTTATCAACTGATATTTTCATTTCTGTGAAAAACATCTGTCATAGTCGCTGACTGCCCAAAAACAAGCTAGAGTACGTTGTCTACACACTAGGTGATTCCTCGCACTACATTCCTGGAGCAACACACCCCATTCAATGTAACCTCTGAATCAATGTTTCCAGAGATATCTTTTTCCAAATAAGTATAATATGGAAGATTTTTCTAGATCATCTTCCAATGTTACTCCACCCCAATGCATTGACTCTAGCTAATATCTTTTGTGAAGGATTTTGTTTCCAAGCAGTGGAGACAAAATGCAACCACAACCACTAAATTCATAACAGAATTTCTAAAAATCCAATAACACAAAAATTAGCATGATTTGTTTGAGAGAACTCTACAGCTGATTCCACGTGTAACTCTTGTAATCATTAAACATAAAACACACTCACTGCGTCTTAATAGGTGCAACTCCAGGTCTTAATTTCACATCGGCATCCTTCGATATAGCTTCTGGTTGCAACTGCTTCTCTTCCTCACTACTAGAAACAGAGTTTTCTCCGTTTTCCCCCGCTGATGGAAATTTGACAACTTCGTCCGCCATATTGAAGCAACCTCATTCCCAGTACACCTCTTGCTATAAGCAGGACCCAGGCTATCGAGCTTGGCCGCGGCAAAACGACGTTGGTGACAATCATTCACCGATAAAGGTTCGAAATCCGTATGGAATTTACTAAATTTTTTTGGAACTTGACTAAAAGAGTTCTGAGAATTTAAAAACGAGATAACGAGGACTTGTTGATACCTGATTTGTCAAAAAATTGTTCGTGTGTAAGGAAACTGCACCTTTCCTCTTTTCTCGTTTTTTCCCGGGATGATAGGAAAACCATTGTATATACCATTTGTTTTTTTCACACCATTCTCATGTTCTTTGGTGAAATACGCGTACGCAGTCTTTCCCATCGGAAATGAAATGGAGCAGTTCTTTCCACTCAGAAGTTCTTTAAATTTTTAAATACTGACAAATGATTGTACACACTCATTCCGTCCCATTTTGCTCGTTGAGCAGTTGTACAGTTCCAATTTAGCGCAAAATTCTCACTGATGTTTCCGCACAAATGAAAAGCGCCCCTCACTTGACTGCGATCAACCGTCTTTTTCAGCTTTCCTTTTTGGGGGGATTTCATTCACGATTAATAAGTGCGACCCAAAAAATTTCCAGTGGTGTAGAAAGTTAAACTTGATTTCTCACCAGGGGTCCGTTTCTCGAAAGCCCCGGAAACTTTTCGGGCCCGTTAAGCCATTTTTAGTCCATCTGTGTCTAGAAACGGAGAAGTGTATGCACCTGAAACTTCTTGTATGAAGGGAACTTCTCTTCACATTAAGAATATGTGAATAAAACAGCTCTGTAATCGTAAAGTTCGAGATTTTGCTATGGCTTTACGGGCCCGAAAAGTTTCCGGGGCTTTCGAGAAACGGGCCCCAGAACCGGTTTTTACACAATACCTTTAGGTACCACCAATGGCTATAAATTCACAAGCAAAATAACTCTTGTACAGTAATTGTTTTGTGCTAAATAGTTTTCAAGACTGGTTTGAAACCTTTATCCTTTTCAAAACTGCAACTCTTTTTTCCTTATAACTCGCCTACACAAGGGAGTTGCACTATCAATGAGGTGGGTTTTAAACACTTTATTATAATATCTAAAAATATCTACAATAACATCAGCATCACACGAGTTTGCTCAACAACATTCACTGGCTTGAAAAAAAAAAAGGAATACAAAAGCGACAATGGATGAAAACTGAAAAGCTAAAAAAAACATGGAACATCAACGAGTTGCAGTAACCACGAGCTAAACAGTTTGTCTATAGAACAAATAGACCTCAGTTATCACGGTTTTCGACGCCATCTTGACGGGTAGACAAAGCGGTCAAAAATTACAGTGTTTGTATGGGAATCCGATGGCAAACAACTTTTTCCAATATTGAATTTTACTCAATTTATGAATCGAAACGTCAAAATACTAGGTAGAAGATTGTATTCACCAATAGGATGTTGCTTGGCTAGAAGACGATCATTTTTTCTAATTTTCCATACATTTGTCTGTAATTTTTTTTCCCGCGAACCGCGTCTACCCAGCCAACTTTACAGACAAATGTATGGAAAATTAGAAAAGACAAATGTATGGACAATTAGAAAAATTAACTGAGCGCCTTCTAGCCAAGCTACATCCTTCAAACGATATGAACTCACCAGTCGCAAGAACTGTGGAGAAAATGAAAATGGTCTGCAAAAATCCCTTCATTTTGTGGCCTTCTCTAACTCCGAACTCAATCAAAGAGTCATCAAAGAAGACTCAACAAAAGCGGTCTGCACGTCCACTTCACAAGCACTGGCACGAAAGTTATTGAACGTCATTCAAACTTCAGCTTCTGATTGGCTGAATGATGCCAGTCCGCGCGCTTGGCGCGTTCCCCTGGTCCCCCATAAAAGACAAACAGGACGCCGGAGAAATTTTGAAACGCAGCTTTATTTCTATGGTTAGGCCTACCGTCCACACTAATCCGACACGAAAACGGAGCTTTTCGAAAACGTCCTTCAAACCGGAGGAATTTGAAAACGCCGGCTTGTCGTTGTAGTGTGAACAGGAAACATATTGAAAGCGGAGCTTTTTGAAAATGACGACGTTACAACATACATGTGATTTCCCTGTCATTGCTGCGTTTTTAAATTCCTCCGACGTAATGTGACTTAAAAATTATTTTACAAGCCGAAACAGGTGGTAAATATTGTACAATCTGTTAGGCAACGAATTGGTAATTTATACATTTAAGTCCTTGGCTATAAAACACAATATCATTTGCAGGTATTGGGGAAAACATTATTCTTGTCGAGGG